CAAACACTCTTTCTACCAAGGTTCCTTATAACAACAGAATAGAATTTATTGGTCAATAACTACTAAGACAGTTTTGCCAACCAAGTGAGTTAATTTGCTCCTTCACTTTGCTCAGATAGACACCCTTGTAATGTTTTACTTGCCCCTAATCTCCCACAGCTATTACTCAAGAACCTTCACAACTCAGTACCTGTGAATCAAAAGCTTGTGCCTGCAACTTGAAAACCTCTTAGAAGATTCCCAGAGACCCCAGAAGCAGTACAGAGCCAGGATTCTTGTGAATTCAAGACAAAATTTTAATGACTAATAATTACTTTATATGCTGTTATTTTATAAGAAAAAATATGACTGGCCTTCACCTCTAGTTCCAGTCTTAATTTCTAGATCTTTGGAATTTCTAAGTGATAGAAGTATCATTAATACTTTTAGTGGACTTATTGCTGCTTTTATGCTAAGGAGATGCCTCAGAATGGGGGCTGGCCAAGCTAGAAAGACCAAGCAGGTGATTAGAGCATTGGGATTTTGAGCCAAGTGATAGCGGCCCAATCTACAGAGCGGGGAAGCGGAGAGATGGAAACTGAGTTCATTCACATAGCCCAGGATTAAAGCAATTACACCTACATAATGAAACCCAATAAAAATTCTGGACACTGAGGCTAGAGTGAGCTTCCTGGCCTGTGATGTACATCATTGTACCAAAAAGATGATGTATGCTGAAGGCACAGAAACTTCATGTTTGGGACTGCCGTTCAGGCTCTCTAGGTTGGACAGGTCCATTTGGGGCTCAGGTAGATGGAAAAAGATGTGTAGAGCCTTGGGGATGCTTGACATGCCTTTATTTGGGAGAGTCACACAGGCACAAGCTTGGGTCCAAGGAAATCACAGACGCCACAAAGCCCGTGTGGAGGGAGTCACACAGGCCACAAAGTCATGTCCAAGTCAGCACCCTGACTCCCCACCTTATCCAAAGCTTCTATCCCTTAAATACTAGCCCTAAACAGAGCAGGCTACAGACCAGAAGGTGAAGTAATTGTCAGAGCTGTGCCTGCGATCCTGCTCAAGACTACAGGGCAATTTATTTCACCCGGGGCTTAAGGCAGTGAGACCTGTTCTCAAGGCTGTGGGAACACTGCTTTATCAGACTTCTTCAAGGTTGTGAGGAGCTGCTCCCTCTGACTACCCATGCATCTGGGTGAGGGAGACAGACCACGTCCATTTACACTACAGGGACTCTCCCAGATTTTTCCCTATATGTCCCTTCATTTGGCTGCTTGTGATTTGTATCCTTTATAGCAAAACTGTAATCATAGGTATATTTTCTTGAGATTTGTGAGTCTTTCTAGTGAATTACTAAAACTTAGGGGATAACTAGAACTCACATATTTGTAGCCAGTGAGTCAGAAGTGGAGGCAGTCTAGGATCCCAGAGCTTGTGGCTAGTGTTTGAAGTGAGGGTAGTCTTATGAAGGTCTTGTCATTAGCCTGCAGCATAGGCACTAATATCCCTGGTAGTTAGTGTCAGCACGCCATTGCAGCTATGCCTTTAACTAACTTATTTTCACACCAAAGGGCTGTGCAGAGACTGATTTTTTCAACCCAAACTGATGATGAATTGTGAAGGGAGGGGAGCTGGTGATACCATTACAAGTCCAAAATATAGATATTTGGGGCTTGGGAATGTGGTATACAGAATTCTGAGATAGTCTCTAATATTCCTGTTCTCTGGTGTCTCCACTCAGTAAAATCCTCTCCCATTGAGCATAAGGCCACACTGTGGGGGTATGAGGAATTTTACTCCTGTGATCAGATTATGATATATAACATCACGATTTCAACCTTGTGAGACCTTGAGTAGAGAAATCAGCTAAGCCAAGCCCAAACTTCTAATATGTAGACACCATGAGTTGATAGATGGTATTTCTTCAAGCCACTAAGTTTGTGATAATTAGTTATGCAGAAACAGAAACCTAATATGAAAGGAAATATGTACTGGTTGAAGAAGTAGGAGGGCACATACATCAACCTTGCCAATGTCAAAGGCAGTCCAGTTGCCATTCCCATCCCTCCAAAGGCAGAAAGGAGTGGTTTGAGATGAGAGCAATCAGAATCCTTCATGACATTAAATCACATTCAAAGATGGGAACCTAAAGGACTCTTGGGTTGGAGAGAAGATGTTTGGCCTCAAAAGAAGAAGATTAATTTCTGTATTTAACCACTGAGTGAGCAGTCCTGTGTCAGAGGTGTTAAACATGCCCAAATGACTGGAAGCACAGAAGACAGATGTGAATGCAATATAAGGATTACAGTTCTAGCACTGCAAAATGTCTAAGAAAATGGAAAAGGCTGCCTTTATTACTGGGACTCCTAGTTTATTCCAAATTCCTCATTAATCCGAGTACCCAACATACAATTGAATTAACTTAGAAATAAGAGGACAAATCAGGACAAAAGCTGGAGACTAGAAAATGAATAGGTGAAGAGCTACCAATCATAGGCCTTAGGTTGGATTAAAATCTCTCCCAGCCCATAGTCACTGTAATTCTATAAATTTAAATGTCACTTCAAAGAGCCAATTGATGCTAAAGATGTGGAGATGAATTGAAATGGGATTAGGTAACAAACAAAGTGATACCTGAATCCTTCCCTCTTTTCAAGTGTCTCATAGGAAAACAATAAACCGAGAAGGCGGACTTTAGTGTGCTCTAGGTTTTTACCCCAAACCTCAGAATAGAAGTCTACCAAGTATGACTTCAGTTTGTAGAATACTCTCTTTACTTACACAGAGGTTTCCTGATGACCTCATTCATGCCAAAGCACTCTAAAGACCTGATCATTTCACTCCCAAAACAAAAGACCAAGTAAGGAACCCGGTGCCCTGAGAGAGCTTTCCTAGGCCACCCACTCCAGACTTTTCTTCACCCAGGAGAGCCAAACAGTTTGGACTGTAAATCCTTGTGGGGTGTCCCTTGATTGTCATCATAGAAGTCCTCTTCACTGCTCTGCAGAATTAGTCTCCATTTCCTGACTTTCACATCATCATCTTTCTTGTTTGATTTGCTCCTTTACCTGAAGCACATCATTTAATAGCTTTCTGAGAAAAGGCAACAGAGGTCCATTTTACATCTTTCCTGGCTGAAATAGAACTAGTCCTTCTTCTTCCTTGACTAGTGCTTTAGTGAGTAAAGTATTCTATGATGGGAACATTTTTCTCAGAATGCAAAAGCATTGCTCGATCATCTAATACTTTCCTACATTGCTTTTGAGAAGCCTGAAGACATTCTGATTACTGGTCCATTGTATATGGTCTGTTTTTCCTCTGTGCTTTGGCGTAGCATTTATTTCTAGAACTGAATGCCTTCTCAGTGGGCCCTTTAAATCTGGAAATCTATGTCTTTCAGTTCTAAAATCTCTTTCTCATCCTTTTTGTCAGTTCCCTGTTTTCTCCTCCCCCACACATAGGCTGGGTGGGACCACCTCAGGGGCGATGGCAGACATAGTAAACAGCAGGTTTGCATGGAAGGGACCACCTGTTTTCCCAGACTTAGTTTCAGGGAATCAGGGCCTTCATTTCCAGCATTGCGTGAGTAGGGAAAAACAAACAAACAAACAAACAGGCTAATTCCCTAAATCCAAAATTGTCCAAAGCCAGTGGGAAAGCAGCAGCTCTTCAGTTCTCAAAATCATCCTCTCACCTCAGAGCCCATCTAATGAGTGCAACCTGAATTTACCTCTACTGCTGTTTCCTTGGGGGGTTTTGTTTGTTTGTTTGTTTGTTTTGGCAACCTGTCCTCCACATCCCTCTCCCTGTTAGATAGAAATTTATCCCTGTATATTTTTTTTCACCCAAAGTATTTATAAATGATTCCTTCCCCTCTATTTTCTCTATTCTTTCTGAAACTCATATTTGCTAGACACTGGACCACATAGATCAATTATCTAATTTTTTTTCCTCTTTCTCATCTCTCTGTTGTTGTTTTATTTTTATAGTTATGTCTGAGAAATTTCTGAAACTTTATCTTCTAATACTTCTATGGAATTTTTAAATTCCTGCTATCATATTCTTAATCTCCAATAAATCTTTCTTATTCTGGGACTTTTTCTTTTATATAACAGCCTCTTCTTGTTCAAGAAAAGCAATACTTTGTTTAATTGTTGTGGTATTCTAAGTAGTCTTCTGCTTCTCACTCTGTATCTTTGTACCATTCACTTTTCCTGTGGTTTTGTTTGGTTTTGTTTTGAATTTTTGCTATAGTTTTTGTCTCTTATTCACATTAGCAATATTCTTCAAATGCCTTTTAGCTGCCCTTAGTCCAGCCCGAGGTACTCAGAAGCTGGAAAGCACAGCATGGAAGGGCAAAGCTTCTTAGCTGGGGAGTGACGAGGATCCCACTGGCCTTTTCCTCACTGAAGAGTAAGGAGTTGGCTTTTCTTGAGTGCATGTTACACAGAAGAATTGCTGCCCCAATGATGGTTTCCCACTCCATGTTTCCATCCACTGGCTGAAACTCTATCTGTACTCTGTCTCCACTGCAGTAGGAGTAGCTGTCTAAACACAAGAGAGCTGCCAGTCTATGTATATCATGAAAAAGTGGTGCATGCTCACACACTTTTCCCATGTCTAACCTCGCCAATGTAGAAAAGTGATTCAGGTTCTTTAAACACCTAACCGTTTCTCCATGCTGCTCTCTCCTGACATCTCCAATTTCAGCCTATTGAGCTATTTCATCTATGGTAAATGCCACCAGCAGAGCTAAGCAGCAGCCACAAAACAGCATGGCCATCTTTCTGATCCTCACAAAAACCTCCCAGATGAGCATCTTCACAGGAGGGTACTGTCTGATGGCAAAGCCTGGGTGCTTGCCATGGCTGGCCCTCACCTTACCCTTTGGAATTTACTGTTGTTCTGCAAAGAGAGTGTGGTTTCCCAGGAGACAGGGCACCAGTGTTTCATGCGGAACTGACAAGCAGGTTGCTAAGAACACAGATGGAAAACCCTAGAAGATGCTGCTTCTCCTGCTTGGCTGCCTCCTGCCTGCCACTGATGCCAGTGGGAAAAACTGCCTCCGCTGCTGGCCAGACCTGCCTGCATTAATAGATTATGACCTGCAGATTCTTTGGGGTGACCCAGGGCCACCTGAAGAGCTCTCCCAAAGCCTCCACTCCCTATTTCTGGAGGCTCATGACTTTCCAGGACCCTGGTATCTTGGTGAGGTGCAGCCTGGAGATCAGGGATCAAGGCTGGCCCTTCTGCCTGGTCTGAGATCTTACTCCTTTGACTTGCCTTCCTCTCACATCCCATTCTCAGATCAGGACCATTTGGAGAAAGAAGCAGCCAAATTATTCAATCACATAGATAAAGCCATTAGGAAATTTCGAGTTGGTGAGGAAACTGAGTGCCCCAAAACCCCCAGGTTTGGGTTGACAAAGCCTGGCCCTCCAAGGCTTTTCCAGGATATCCCCTTGGCCTGGGGTGGAGAGGTGTTCTGAAGGGTAGAGCCATCACAGTGTCTATCTGTGTGCTGCTTTATGGCCTTTATGTCTGAGAAAACTGGTTTGAATGCCCAATCTTGAGAAAATTATATAATTGATTTAACCTATGACATGTTGGTAATCAAAGCACCCTTTCCCTCCTAACCCACCCAGATAAACCGTCACTTCTAGAAGAGATTCGTGTCCAGAAGCAGCTGTTTTCCAAGAGGCTGGATGTAATATCCGAGGAGCTGAAGGAAAAGGGTAAGATATAGGGCTGTCCCTCCTCACACCTAGCCCTTCGCTTCCTTCAAGACCTGAGGCGGGGAGCAGAGTTCAGTTGGAGCTCCCTCCTGGGCCCCTCACCTAGACCCCCAATTCCTGCACACCTCCCAGCTTTATTTCCCAGTCACACCCAACCCCTTTGGCTCTGTTTGCCTCCCAAGCACCTCAGTTTCTCTACCTTCTCACCCTCCCGAGCAGCCTGCAACAACTCCTGTGGTGAGTATCCTTGGGGACCAGGCCTGGGCTGGGGGTGATGGGTACCTGGCCCTCTCTAAGGATCCTGCCCATCCCTTCTCACAGACCTACAGTCCAAACTGGAGGTCATCAATTGTGCCAACTGCAGAACACACTTCCTCACCTGCAAAGACCCCACTCTCTGCCCAGGTTAGTGGCCAGCAGCCCATCTGGCCGCCAGCTTCTCCCCACCCCACCCTCAGTCCATTGTTGTCTCTTTCTGGATTGTCTTCCTCTTCTGCTAAGCTCTGAGCTCTTCTTGCTCTCCACTGTCACTGGGGAAGGCAATACCACTTAAGATTTTCCTCCTTTTATTTTTTATTGTTCTATTACAGTTGTCCCAATTTTTCCCCTGTTGCTCTCCTCTACTCCATCCCCCCTCTGCTCCCACAGTGAATCCCCACCTTGTTGTCCATGTCCATGGGTCCTTTATACATGTTGACTACACTCTTTCCCTTCTATCCCCCATTATCCCCCTCCCCTCCCCTCTTTGGTCACTGTCAGTCTGCTCCGTGTTACCATGCCTGTGGTTCTATTTTGCTCATTTGTTTGTTTTGTTAGGTTCCATTTACAGGTGAGGTCATATGGTATTTGTCTAGCACCTCCCAAAGTTTTTCAATATCTCATGTCCAGTTTCAGAACCATAGAGCCACCTGCCTCCGGGCCATCTTCCTCAGGTCCTCAGAGCCACCATGCCCAAAGACATGCCCAAACCCATCTCCATGCCCCAAATAAGCTCCTTCCTCAGGGTCCCTCTTAGCAAATGCCCCCCCTCAGGAGCTCAACCTCCTAAACCAGAAATCACCCTCCCCCTTACTCAGTGCATGTAATCACCAAGTCTTATGAAATTATTCTTGAATATGTTGCCATATTTTCATTCCAACATCCACCACTACTCTAGGCCTCCTCATCTCTCACCTGCATTATCTGCCTGGCTCCCCTCACCCTCCTGGTCACATCTTACTCAGCACTCAAAGAACTTCTTCTCAGGGAGAAAATCTGCCTATGACACTCCCTGTTTATAACTTTCAGTAGCTCCCAGTTCTGCACAGATAAAGTCCATCTTCTTCAGGAGGCCTTGTGTGAGCAACCACTGCTCACCCCTTGACTTCCCAACCACACAAGACAGCTTTATTCTTCTGTCCTTGAACATTCTGTGCCCTTTGCCTGGAAAAAAGCTTTGTCCCTTGACCAACTTATCTTTCAAAATCAAGCAGGTGTCCTGTTTTGTAAGAAGCCTTCCCTGACTAGCTCCAATCCCCTGAGGCTGGCTCATCACCTCTCCTTAAGATCATTCCTCCTTGTACTGCTTTGTCTCCCTTGGATACCACACCATAATTGTTTGCTTTTCTCCCTGCTAGAGAGCAGGGGCCATGTCTCACCCATCTTAGTATATGCTGGGCACACAGTGTCTGCAAACAATTGACTGAATGGGTGAATAAAGCAAGGAAAGAGGGTAGCTTTCTCTCTGAGCCAAGATGGCCCTGACTATTCCACAAATACCTGCTCCTCCTTCAACACCCCCAGGTGAGACTCAGAGGACTTTGTTATGGGCTGTGAGCCTCAGCATCACTCTGCCCCTGGCAGTCATAGCTGGAGGTGGGTGAGTGACTTCTTCAAGCCCCAGCATCCCCCCAAAAAAGCAGACCTAGTCCTTGACTGACCCATTTCCACCCTGTTTCCTGACCCAGATGGTACATTTTCTTGCATGAGAAGAAGAAAAAGAAGAAGAAGACAGAAGAGGTACTGGAGAGGAAACTCCCCCCTGACTCTTGGGCTCCCAATAGGAGATTCTGGGTCTGCCAGGGGGTAGCAAGGCTGGAGGTTCCAACTCTGCCTCCCAGAGCCTGGTGTCCAGAATAGAGGGGGATTACGGCCAGGACACATTAGCTCCCCCGCACTCAGTGTGAGCAGACATGCTGGGGGCCAGGGGCCCAGGACACAGAAGCAACCAAGCTCCAAGTTTCCCACCTGATCCACAAAGAGCCCTCTACCCACAGCTGTAATTGTCCCTCTACAGACCCACTCTCCACCTGCTCCCTGACTAGCACAGACTATCGAGATGGCTCCCGTGCCCTGGGTGACAGTGTTGGCGGTGAGGGCCAGTGGGAGGTCAGGGTGGAAACCCCTACTTGTTTACTCTCAATAGGCACCCAGCAGGCTGCTTGTCTCCCACAACTGAACAGAGGTCCCAGCACTGCCAGAAAGGTCTCTCATCTCTGGGCTCAGTAACTCTCCCTCCCCTGACTCTTTCTGAACTGGGGGTGGGTGTAGAGAGTGGGTTATAGCTCTGAGGTCCTTACTGTCCTGCAGGCAGTAAGATCACATTGTCTCATGGTTTCCCTATGCTCATGCCTTGTAAATTCCTTCATTAAAACACTTTCCAGTATTCTTATTGACAGCACCATCTGCTTCCTTCCAGGGCCTGGGCAAATGTAGCTGGCATTATGACCCTCCCCTTGAGGTCATGCAGAAACTTGCCCATCTCCTCACACTCCCCTGCCTGCCCACCCCTTCCTACTCCACAAACACCTATCTCCTACCCTCCTGGTCCCAGCACTAGTAGCTCCACAGGCTCACACCAGCCTCACCTAATTCCAACACCAGAGATGAAGGCAGTGGTGGCCTGCATCTCTCGAGGGGTTCCAGAGTCTGGGTATGAAGCAGGGGCTGAAAGAGGCCAGTCGAAAGCCTAGTAGGAGCAGGAACTACATAAGAACACCATAAAACAGGCTCCAAATCACATTAACAGCAATCTTTGCCTGTGTTCTGGCCAAGATGTCTACCCTGAGGCCACTCAGGTCCCCAGCGGATCACTGGTGCTGCTTTCAGTGAAGATTTTCTGGCTCTGCAAGCATGAGGACTTTGTATCCTCTTGCTCCATCTCCCGCTATGCCCTTTTGTTGTTGGCCCCCATGGCTTCTAGGTTAAATGGAACCCTGTGTCCGATGGCCCAATTATACCACTTCCCCTTTTTTCTAACCTCTCAGCCTTGGCCCAGGCTCTGCCCTGAGACTAAATGGAACTTCTCCAAAACCTGAAGACTACCACCAAGACCAGGGCCCTACTCAGCAGGTCACCTTCCGGGGTCTGAGGCCAGAACTGCAGACAGATGGCCCAGAGCCTGGATTCAATTCCTCACTCAGATGTTAAGTTCTAGGTTCCCCTTGGCATCTCAGTTTCCACAACTGGCAACAGAGGAGGGATGCAGTGCTTTCACCAGGGCACACCCAAATCCCGCAGCCCACGAGGTTCATGTTTGCCACCCCATATTTGCTTGTCCTGTTGGTTCAAATACAATGTCTTCGTTCCCTTCCTCTCCTGCAGTCCACTGTAATCCTGCTGAGGCCCACAGCCCAGATACTAAAACCAGGCCTCTTGCCTTCTTTGGCCTGCTGGTACTCCCACCTTGGAGCCAGAAAAAGCATCATCCCACAGTAAGGGTCACTCCTTGGGCAGGGGCAGAAGGATTGTAGGAAACTGAAGTGAGAATAAATGAACCACAAACGACAACCTGGGCAGGGAACATTATGGCCAAGGGCAGCTGACAGTCCCAGACATGGGTATCTCCAGTTCTTCCAGGCAAGGATCCAAGAAGGTACCCCTGACGTGGTCTTCAACTGTGACAGGCCAGGAAGGGAGGAAGGGAAGGAGAAGTATTTTTATGGAGTGTTCAGGTTTGCAGAGGAGTAGAGATACAGGAGACATTGGTAGGATTGTTCAACTCCAAGAGATGTGATATGGTTCAGGGAGAGGCCCAGGTGAGAGGGTGGTGATAGATGAGGTCCATGGAGGCTCCCTAGCCTGTGCAGGCCCAAAGGATGCCAGACAGAAGACCCTGGGACAACAGGTGGGCAGAGGCCTGGGGGAGAGGCAGTGACAGCCCTGAGTTCTAGGACAGAAGACAGAGAGATGGCATGCGGAAGGACCTGTGTGCTGGGGAAGACATAGCTCCACATGCTGGGAGCTGAGGTGCCTTTTTCCCCTGTTTCACAGACTCTCCTCTACTCACAAAGCTGGGGAGGGGCCTATAGATGTAAGTGTTTAACATTGCAAGGACATAGCTATAACCATATGGTAAGAACATACTCACAAACACTTTGAGTGACTGGGCCAGGCAGGTGGTACTGTGGACATTCAGGAGAACTTAGTTCTCTCTATGTGACTGCAAAAGCTAGTTGCCATCCAAGACATAGGAAAAGTCAGAATTTTGTGACAGCAATGTCATTTTCTTATTTAATTTAATTTCCTATTAAATTTGTACTTAGACCATTACCTCAAAAATATCCAAAGCAACATTTTTCTGATGCATGCAGTAAAAATAAGAAACCCTGAGTATGAGTTTGTGTGTGTCTGTATGTGTGCACCTCTTAGCAACAGACTTATTATTTTGGGAATATTTTTATGAAAACTAGATATTGAGTCCTGATAGAGTGGAAAGATTTATAAATTTGTGTGTCAAAATATAGGCTCTGGAAGACTTCTGCTTTTGGCTATGACAGAGGGGCTTATAGCAGACCAAGACTCATAAAGGACAACTAAAACTAAAATAAATTAAAAGAACAAAACAAAACAAAAAGTTTGTTTCAGGCATCAGAAGCAGTAGGTCCTATGCATCCAAAGTCCCGGGAAAAAGCAAGTTCTTTGTGGGGACCTAGCATTCTCAGCACACTTCCCCTCTGCCTGGGAGAACTTCAGTAGCACAGGTTGACAGGCATGTGGGCTGGGTTGAGGATGACCTCCAAGTTTGGAGAAGCCAACCAAGCTCTCTGTAATGTCATGACACTGAAGAGACACAACAGGCAGTACTAGCTTGCCAAGACAGAATGTGAGGGGTCCAAATCCCTGAAAATACGCAGATGCAGGAAACTCAAACCCATGGCATGTTTTCTCCCACATCCTCCAAGATGCCTGCCTATTGTTAACAGCACAGGGCTTCAGACCAAGAAATTAAGCAAAGGATCTGAAATGAAATTTATTAGAGATTTGTATGGTAGGCAAATGAAAATTGGAGTTCTTGACCCATATAGGAAGTCACACTTTGATAAATACTACAAGTTATTGACTGGAAAAGGAAGAGCCTAAAAGGGGGTGCACCAGAGGCGGACCGATTCTTACAAAGTCTGGAGCTCTGGAAACATGGTAGTGGTTCTAGATGACAATATTTTTCTCCAGGAAATATTTACTCATCCTCCAGCAGTGATATGGAATAAGAATAGTCATTTTTAATAGTGGCAGTGCTCTTGACAAAATTAAAAATGACTATTCTTATTCCACATCACTGCTGGAGGATAGAGTAAATATTTCTGGAGAAAAATCATGTCATATAGAGCCGCTACCACATTTAATTTACAATAGCCAGTATTAAAACAAATATTGACATACCAAAAATAGGATTAAGAGAAATAAGACAGTAGAAACAAACCTAAAAGATAATAGTTATCTAATATAAATTTTAAAATGAATACATCCAAAAATATTTTTCCAGCTTTACTGAGATAAAATTAAATAACATTGTGTTAGTTTAAAAGGTTCAACATGTTGAATTTATATACTTAAATACTGCAAGATGATTACCATCATAGTATTAGCTATCATCTCTATAATTACCTTTTTTTACCCCTGTGGTAACAACATTTAAGATCTACCTTTTGAAGAATGTTTAATAATGTAATATAGTATTATTAACTACAATCACTATGCTATCCTTTAGATCTTCAGAACTCATTCATCTTATAACTAGAAGTGCATATTTTTTAACTGATACCTCCCCATTTCCTCCACCTCTTAACCACTAGTAACCACCATCCTACTCTGTTTCTGTGAGTTAGGCTACTTTAGCTTTCACACATAAGTGATCTGATAACAGTATTTGTCTGTCTCTGACTTATGTCACTTAGCTTAATGCCCCCACGGCCCATCCCTGTTGTCACAGATGGCAAGATTTTATTCTTTTTATAATTCAATAATATTCCATTGTGTATATGTACCAAATTTCTCTTTATCTAGTTATCCATCAATGGAAACTTAACTTAAGTTGTTTTCATATCTTGATTATTATAAATAATGCTACAGGGAACATAAGGGTACATATACCTTTCTGCATTAGCATTTTTATGTTTTTTTCATAAACTCCCTGAAGTGGAATTGCTGGATCATAAGATAGTTATATTTTTAACTTTTTGAGGAAACTCAATACTGTTTCCTTTAATGGCTGCATTAATTTACATTCCCACTAACAGTGCAAACGTGTTCTCTTTTCTCCACATCTTCACAAACATTATTTCTTGCCTTTTTGGTAACAGCTATCCTAACAGGTGTGCTCTCATATCTCATTCGGCATCTTTTTCAAGGCATGCCTAGTGGTGATTATCTCCCTCAGCTTTTGATTTTTAAGGAAAACCTTTATCATGCTGTCATTCCTGAAGGACAGCTTTGCCAGGTAAAGTATTCTTGGCTGTCAGTCTTTTTCTTTTAGCACCTTGAATATATCAGTCTATTCAGTCCTGACCTTCAAGGTCTTTGCTGAGAAATCTACTATTTGGAGATTCCCTTGTATGGGAAACACACACACACACACACACACACACACACACACACACACACACACACTCTTTCTTGCTACTTTTAAAATTCTCTATTTTTGATTTTTGAAAGTTTTGTTAAAATATCTCTTGGGGAAGTTCCTTTTCATTAAAACTTTGGCATGACTCGCTAACTTCATGAACTCAGATGTCCAAATTATTTCCATGTTTAAGAAGTTCTTAACCATTAGTTCATTAAATAAGCTTTCTACTTCTTTCACCCTGTCTTCTCCTTCCAAATGCCAATGATGAGTACATTGTTTCTCTTAAAGGTATCTCATAAATCCCATAGGTCTTCTTAATTCCTTTCCATGTTTCTTTTCTTTTCTTGACCCTCTGAGTGGATATTTTTAACTGATCTGTCTTCACGCTCACTGATTTTTTTTCTCCTGATTGGTCAAGTTTTTTTAATTGAAGCTCTCTGTTGAATTCTTCAGTTATTTTATTCTTCAGCTCCAAAATTTCTGGGTTTTTTTTTTCTTTTCTTTTTACTGTTCAAATACATTTGTCTCCACCTTCCCGCCACCACTTTCCCCCGTCCCCCTCCCCTACCTCCCTCCCTCAATTCTTCTCCACTTTGGTTTTGTCCATTGGTCCTTTATATATGTTCCTTGACTTGACCCTTTCCTTCCTTTTTCCCACCATCCTCTCCCTCCTTCCCTCTTAACCCTGCTGGTTTTTTTCTTTCAATGTTGCAGGTTATATTTTCCTTGCTTGTTTGTTTTGTTGGTTAGGTTCCATTTATAGGTGCGATCATATGGTATTTGTCTTTCACCTCAAAATTTCTGTTTTTTAAAAATGTTTTCTCCCTGTTGAACTTCACATTTTGCTCTTGTGTTGTTTCCTTTATTTCACCAAGTTGTTCATCTGTATTCTCTTGTAGCCTCCTGAACATCTTTAGAACAATTATTTTGAATTCTGTGAGACAATTCATGATCTCCATTTCTTCAAGTTACTTACTGGAATTTTATTTTGTTCCGTTGACACTGTCATGTTTTTCTGAGTCTTCATAATACCTGTAGCATTATGTAGGAGTCTGCTCATTTGAAGAAGTCATTGTTCCTTTCAGGTTTATTGACTGACTTTGGTAGAGAAAGACCTTCACCTATGGG